ATCTTAGCAAAGAAGCTCGGAACATGGATTTGGTTGTAAAATTACTGATATACAAACAAAAAACACAACAGGAGATGTTTGCTACATCGCCTCTCGGAGAGAAAACGTTTGCCTAGAGGCGTTTGAAAGGATTAGATATTTATACAGCTTGACCTTGATGCGATCTGTGTCACAACAGTGTTAATCGTTGCAAATGAACTGGAAGCTTTATCAAACGTTTAAAAAAAGGTTCATGCGCACTGAGCATCTTTTACAAACAGCGGTAAAAGAATATTTGTATTTGTCGGAGAAAATAGGCGAAAGTATGCAAATTAGAGAAAACCACGTGTCAGTACCATTAACTTTTGGCTTAAATCTAAAACCTGAAGACACGCCAATTCTTCTTTTTTTTATATAAAATTGGTACTAAGAGAGGTCTATTGCTGGGTCCACCTAACCCCTGTTTCAAAGATTAACCATAATCCTTAACACAGTCGAAGGAGGTTTATTATTTATTTTAGAGTGAGTGAGTTGGGTTTAACGCCGCTTTTAACAGTATTCCAGTTATATCGCGGCGTGTCAGCTTAATGTGGGAGGAAAGCCCGAAGTGATGCAGGTCTCAGACGTTTACCACTTCGGCGAAACCCACGAGCACAGGTATGGTGCTGACAAACCTAGAAACATAATCGGGGCGAATTGGGATTCGAACCCACAATCACAGCGAATCGCGGCGCCTTAGACGACTGGGCCACCCGTGCCCCCTATTTATTTTAGAATTCAAAGTATTTGGGACAAGTGGAATAAATACATTTGGATTCTCAAAAACGCAAAGGATTTGCTTGAACTTTTGCAATCTCAGAAACGAACGAGGTTCAATTATGTCAAAGCATTTTAATTTTCAACTGTGTACACCACATGACAAACTTAAGGAAATTATTCATTACCATAAAATCAGTAAATGCCCTATCGTGTCACTGGATTTTCTTGTCCATCAATCTTGATTGTCTGGTTTGTTTACAGGCCGCCGTCACATGGCGTCAGACGTCAGGCAGTAAATAGTTACTTATTTCCATTGTGTATATGGCGGATTCTACCGGTAGGACAAGACATGATTACCCTTTTCGCGAACACCTAATTTTCAGTGATCCATTCATACGATTTTCACAGCTATTTTTCACAGGAACTCGTTATTGGTCAGTAAATAAACATATATACCCCCTATATGTAAGTACTTATTGGTCAGTAAATAAAAACATATATAGGATTATGGTTATATATTTTTATTTACTGACCAATAACGAGTTCCTGTGGTATTTTGATCTTTACGCCAAATGGAATCTGTTTCGCCGGATAATCAAGACTGGTTATTCTCTTTATATTTTCTACGAAGATTTCAAAGAGCGTCATACCACTCTTGTTCCAAAGGTGGTCGGTCAGGGTTACAAAATTCAAAGCCATACGTGCAATTCATTTAGCAGACGATGAAGAGGACGAAAACTATTTTATTTATAGCCAATCAGATCGCTGGCTTTTATTCAGTGTTGGGTTTGTCAAGGCCAAGGTCGTCTAGGGCGGACGGGGCACGGTAAAAGGCTTATTGAGACAAATAAATGTACGTCAACTCATTATATCATCAGGTTTATGTGTCGTGGAAAGAATGACGATGGGCGGGCTGACAGGTGCCATCGATTAAACGTGTTTTTGGCGCGTGATATTTGTGTACACGATCCAATAAACAAAAAAATCGGTAAGTTAGCGATACAAATTCTGAGTTGTGAAAATCACAATAGTTTGAGCTTCTGAAGGCGCTAGTTCCAAAAGCACGGCTTCGATTTGCTTGATTTATACCTCATTGTGTAGCCGAATGTATTGGCTTGAAATGCGTGTATAGTATTATAGGGATATTTATAGTGGACATTGTTGAATTATATTACTGATACTGGGCGTGACCATATATCTTGTAGCTGCTTTGTTTTACGTCACAAGTCCCTGTGTCTGATGCAAGTTCTATATTTTCAGGTGGACAATTGACTTGCCGTTGCATGTGTTTGTGACGGTACCAACCTGGTGGGGCAGGATACGCTCACCTTTTAGCAGTGTTTTTTTTATGATTATGGGAGGAGGTTGTCGCATTTATTTCTAGTTTAGTTAGTTAGTTTGTTTGTTGTTTAACGCTGCACTAAGCAATATTCCAGCTATGTGACGGCGGTCTGGAAACAATCGAGTCTGGACCAGACAAATCAGTGAGTGACATCATGAGCATCGATCCGGGATATAATTACATACATCAACAAAGTCAGCGAGCCTGCCTCTTACGACAAGCATAGTCGCTTTTACGGCAAGCATAGGTTGCTGAAGACCTATTCTTCCCTGGATCTTCGCGGGTCGCTTTTATTTCTACTTATGATTTTGCCTCTAATGTGTTTCTTGTATTCGATATCTTTTACAGATAGTTTCTTATTTATAGCTTCAGTAAACTTCTTTGAATTGTGGATTAACTTCTGTGAATAGTGGATTAACTTCTGTGAATAGTGGATTAACTTCTTTGAATAGTGGACTAACTTCTTTGAATAGTGGATTAGGATTTACTAATGATTTATATCCATGCCCAGTGATTCACGTCAACTGGAAAATATATACTCACCGCCAAAACTATAGAAACATATAGAGAAGTATGTACGTTAAGAAGAGCTGTTTCCTATGTGTACCACTTAATGACAAAACAAACAACCAATTAAGTGTTACCACAGCGTTTCTTTATCCTTATTACGATATGCTGCACATAATTTCCAAATTTACACACTCATCCTGCACGAGACAAATGGTGCATCTCGAGTCATGGATCTATGACATCACATTTGATGCGTTCATGAAAGTCGGTTCACACAACATACCAGTATGTTCCGTTTGTGAATCGAACCAGTCTAATATCTCTTGAATATGAGTAATTATTCATATATTAACCAACATGTATGGTATTCGCGTTTCTCTTGTCGGTTGGTATATAAACTTAGTATACCTCAGGATGCCTTCAATCGAAGACCCAAAACAATACATAATGACAGAACACGGACAGTAGACTTTGAGTCAGGAAGTCGGCCAGGAGTGCGTGGATTTACGCCGCTTTTAGCAGCGTCTCAGCAATAAAACGACAAGGGTCACGAGGCATGGTTTCGTCATATCCGTGTGAGTGTCCCAGGAAATCTGCCACTTTGCCAGGGCCCTATAACGCTTGTGTGGGATCGAAACCGGGTCCTCGTCGTGTCGTGTGAACCTTTTCACCACTGGACTACCCATCCCTACTTAAATTCAACATGAAAGTACGCTTCTCAGTTGCCTAAACAAGAGGTATGTTTTAATAAAGGCCCTTTGGGGTCATATTGCAGGGATAATGCTAACTGGCGTGTAAATAAAAGCGACAAAACACTTTCCATATTCATAAGAAATCTGTGCCAATAGCAGAGTCGATTGTAAGATTCTGACTGTATCATGCGCTCATGAATCACCACCCAATAGTGATAATACCACATGTTCGCGAAAGGTTGAGCGTATCCCGCCCCACCGGCTGGCACTCGTCACAGACACATGCAAGAACTTACAGTGTTGTTTCAGGTGAACAATTGACTTGTCTTTGCATGTGTTTGTGACGGGTGCCACGAGTGGCAATATCGGATTCGAATAGACAATGAATGAATGTCTTGTTACCTCTCAGCCACAATTATCATACCTAAATCACGCGACATGTCGGAAAGTCTGAGAAAGACAAACCACTGGTTGAAAGTATGAGCAAAGATACACAACCTAGAGTACTTTGACTAATAAGCGAACAAGTCGATTATTACATTTAATTATTAATTAACCATTGCAACAATAGAAAACTATCCTGCATGGGTAGGTATCAAAACCCAATAAAATATTGATAAGAATACAAAATATATTTCGAAGAATACAAATATTTTTGTTCATATATCACTCGATATCCTGAAGACAGAAATCAAACGCGCGAGCTACGTACCTGACCGACGCTCTCACTGCAACTGTTGCACATTGAATGCATTATTTACGAGGAAGTTATCTAACTATTTGACTCAGTAGACTTACGTGAGCTGTTAAAAGACTAGCGTAACAACATGAGTTTACCACATTAAAGCGACTAGAACTGATGAAGTAAGGACTTTGATATATTACCGTGCGGGGCGTATTAATCAAGATCTCCGTCTCCGCTTCCTAACACAGCTTTAATGATATATATCTTTAAAATATCATTTCTGCACGTAAATCCTAAATGAACTCTTTGCCGCACGACTAAATTGTATATTCTACAAAATCTTTTTTGTGTGCATATATTTTGACATCATTCTTCAGAGTGTCGTGTTGTTATTTGAACATCTTCGTTTAGCTTGACCTGGCGTGGACTGACATTTAATCCCTGAAATAAAGTTATCTTTTTTGAAAATATATATCTACAAAATAAAAATAAAAATTTAATTCCAAATGGAACACAGAACACTCCTTAATTGGGCAAAATCATTCTAAACTTAAGTTGGACTCCTTTTTGTAATATAAAGTTGTAATGTTTTGTCTCTCGGGTCAGGGAAGCAGACGAGACCTGGTTCAGAAGAGACTGGAAACTTTGGGTTTCGACAATCCTCAGTCCTGAGTTGGGGTATGGGAATTACGAGTGTTTTAGCACTAAAACAGCTTCCTGAATTGGCCGCCAGATCTTCGCCCTGATCTTCACGAGGTTTTCGAGAGCATAATGTTTGTTCTACTGGGCAGCTTCACTGGATTGGTTGTTTCGACAACGGTGTTTACCTGTCCGAGCAGGTTCGATTCCCACGTATCTTTGAGGTCCAAAGTGTTGATCCAATTGTACAAAATCACAGACTGAATTAACCGAATACGTTGTTCGAAAGTAACGGGATAGAGGACTGCATTCTCTGGAGGCAACAGCTGAGCCCAAAACGAACAAAGCCAATCACAACAACAGCAGAAGAGAGACATTGATATACACAAACAACTGATGAATGAACATTTATTTATATAGAAGTAAAAAATTGAGAAGACATGTGAAACAACAAAGTGAAATATCTAAACGTCGTAATCAGTAAACGTGGATATCCCAAAATGTTTTCACATTAAGCAATATATACAAAACCAACGATTACTAATATTTCAAAATTCTAATCACATATTAATATTTTTAACAAGGTTTTTTGCTTAAAATCATAAATTCAAACAAAATATAATCTCAATAGAAGAAGCTAATTGTTGTTTTTTTACATAGTGAAACATAAATATCAAAATGTCACCTGTACGTTGAACGTCCTTGGCAAGAATGCTTGTATCAATATACCATTGAAAAAAGTATTAAAAAAGCAAGTAATCGATAATTTAACAACATATTTTCAATATATACATTGAACGATTGCTAAAGTAATTACTTTAGGAAAACACAAATAATATGAGTAAATGCCATTTTTTGAGTATTTTTTATTAAAAAAAGTGTAGATCAATGTTTAAAATAACCTTTCAAGGAACAAAAGTATTCCCAGATAGACATAGTGAAAGTTACTTTAAAGTCTTAATGTTATGTAACACACACACACACACGTTAAAATAGTATCTGTGAATACCTGAAAATATGTTCACATATCTTTGGACAAAGTATAAAAGACACGAAGTGGAATTAGATTGACACAAGAATTGGTTGAACACACATACACTAATCAAGAACTCACCCTAAACGTACTTCGCTTGGGGGGGGGATACCTCCATCATTCCAGCGTTACACCAGATCCAGAGGTGGGGTACAGTTCGGGTGTGGTAGATAAGGGAAAAGATTCACACGAAGATATCATATATTTTGTGACGTCATCAACACTTGTGACGTTATCCAATGGTGTCATTTCAAGCAACACCAGTTTATGGGAGATAACATTTAACGGGCAATATGGTAGTATTCTAGCATAACAAGGCTTTGCAATATGCATTAAGGCAAGGCCGTGCATTGTTGTAAATGGATATAATGATCACCTGCAAACAAAAATCAATTATATTTAAAAGTTAAAGCGTAATATTGCTTTATTTCTTACTTGTGTCTGGGGTACACCCACCACACATTTCACAAATGCGAATAATTCAAAACAACTTTTTGGAAATCCCATCCTATTTAGTGAACGCTATGGTTTTGAAATAATAATCCTATATTTTGACAAAGGGATCTATCTATTTCATCTGAATAAAGCGTAATTATTTTTAGGTATTTTCACGCAAATATGATTTACTGAAATACGGACTCCAAATTCAACACACACCCTAAAGTGGATTAACAGTGTTTGTGTAAAGTTTACCATCTATCATATGTTTTACAAAACAAAATCCTATCTGAGCTTTCAAACATATATATCTCGTTTCACCTTGCTCTGTATATTTTTTCCATGAAACTAAGGATATTTTTTAGATTGCTATTTCAACAGGAATAGGAGAATTGCCGACAACAGAAATTTGTACGAGTAGAATAACAGTACGTGATGCCATTTGGCATGAATGACACCCTATGATTATAATAGTATCTTATTACATATAACATATATTACATATTACATATATTTTATAACGTTTCTGAGTATATGCTTACTCCGTCATTAGGTGATGAAATGGTAAGCGTATACTCGATAATGGTAAGCGAAACGTTGTATTCCTCATAATAAAAGAAGTTGACATCCGTAGATCTTCCTTATGTGTATCACTTCTAAATGCCTTTCAAAGATTTATTACATATAGTCTGTACTAAAAATGGACATTTGCGATCATTGCTACGTGAGGTTTTCTCGTTCCGAATTTGAATGTCGGTAAACGTGTTGCCAAATCGATGTACTCCACGTTGGGTGTGCAGTCGTTAACTTGGCACGAGACCTTGTAGGAGTAATGATTTCTATTGTATTCTAATATCGGATTCCTTCACAAAAGAGTCAACACGTTAATGTTAACCCCGTCAGTATTTCTAAAATTATTGTCAATGTCAATGATGAATTGGTATACAACTAACCGATTTTGAGGAACCCTTGTTACACATCATATCAAGAGTATTTAGGTATAAGTAAATATAATGTATAACATCACAAGTACAATGGTGTATGTTTCCTGAAGAGCAACACAACACAAAATCAGTTAAGGCCTTTAAATATCTTGCGAAAAGGCAAACTGTATACCACAGCATGTGAAGACGACCTGTGATTGTGCAGTGCAGGCTCACCCAATAAGGTGGCATAAAATGGCGTCTGGGTGTGACATCGGGATGCAATAGAACTTGCAAGCAAGAGATGCCAAACACAATCGCATGGGAAGACATTAAACGTGAACATACAAAGTCATGAGAATCCTAAGGCCACGTGCATATTTTTCTATGGAAATATTATCAAATATATCATATTTAATTATATACATACAAGTCAAGTGTTATCACACAGTGTCGTTATTTTTATTACAATATGATGCACGTGATTTCCAAACTTTACGAGACAAATTGTACCTCGAGTCATGGATATATGACGTCACATGTGATGCGTTCATGAGCGTCGTGTGCACAACATCTCAGTATGTTCGTTTATATTTCTTGAATATGTGTAATTATTCATATATCAACCAACATGTATGGTATTCGTGCTTCTTTTGGCGATGAGTATATATCTTGCTGATGGATTGCATACCATGTTATGGGCTAGTTTATGCGTGATAAAAACACGACTGCGAATATTTCTCTGAAGTCAGGATATATTCTTGTTAATGAATACGGGGCACGTGTGCAAATGATTGCAGAAAGTGTTACGTTATACTAGAATACAGAAATTAATAAATCAAATATATTAAACATTCCCATACGCATGGGACGATCCTCGCGAGCAAGGCTTGATAAACACGTTCAGTGTTTAACAAATATATATTCATGGCTAGTCTCAAATGTTTCTTTCGAGTTCTCGATTTGACTTTTCCGTATGTTTTCAATGCAGGCCATCTTGAACCAATACATAATGCCCCCGAAACACATTTAACAAGGAATATAGAGTCAACGCACAGCATACATTCATATCGTTTCAGGACATCTTAAACCAATTATACCTATTGCTATGGGTGGATAGTGTTAATGCCTTACGTACATCAAATCGTTTCAGTGCTAGAGATCTTGCACCAATACATATTGCTCTTGAAACACATTTAACAATAAATAGTGTTAACGCATTACGTATATCATATGGTTTCACTGCTAGAGATCTTGCACCAATACATATTGCTCTTGAAACACATTTAACAATAAATAGTGTTAACGCATTACGTATATCATATGGTTTCACTCCTAGAGATCTTGCACGAATACAAATTGCCCTTGAAGTAAATTTAACAATGAACATACTGTAAATGCACAATGGAGGTACACTCATGTGGTTTCACAGCTCTCGAACCAACAAATGTTTACCCTAAGGCTTGAAACACATTCACAAATGAAGATACACATTGCAGCAAAAGGTTTACCCACAGATATACAGAGATGTCGCATAATCAGTATAAAGTAGAGCACATGCAGGGAACCTTTCCGATGAGATCAACAAATAAATTAATAAATTTAAGTCTACAATTTGGCTAATATCACAATGCATCCAACCGGGGTTTCACTTGGTGAAGGACGAACCCCACAGATCTATAGAATGTGATGTCAAAGTCTACGACCCCTCGTTGTTCTTCTTTGACGGCGGTGAAGTATCTCTCCTCCATGCACTCATAAACGATGGGCTCAAAGTCAATGTGGAACTTGTTGGCGAATAACTCTTGGCGTTTTTGGAAGCGGGACAAATCGCCGACGCCGAAGATGCAAATGTGGTGGACGTATTTGCCTTGACAGTCGTCCATGAAGAAGTGGACTCCATTGTCCCAGATCTTGTAGCGGGCCAAAAAGGGTTTGATCTTGGGGTGAGTTTCTGGGACACCTGAAGGGATGAGATCAGTTCGTTAGCTAGGTTTACAGACGCAACTGTGACATCAGTGACTGAGTACTTGTATATTAGTGACGTCACCGTGGTCAAAGTGTAGTAGTGAGTGAGTTGGGTTTAACGCCGCTTATAACAGTATTCCAGTTATATCGCGGCGTGACAGCTTAATGTGTGAGGAAAGCCCGAAGTGATGCAGGTCTCAGGCGTTTACCACTTCGGTGATACCCACGAGCACGGGTATGGCGCTGACAAACCTAGAAACATAATCGGGGTGAACCGTAGTTCGAACCGACAATCATAAGTTTCTGGCGTGCCCAAGGGACGCAACTCTGCACAGCGAATCGCGGCGCCTTAGACGACTGGGCCATCCATGCCCCTAAATTTGTTTTAATGAAAAAGAGTGCCTGACTGTTGTTTAATGGGCCAGTCTATAATAATCAAGCTATATCCGGGGGATATAAAGATAGAAAATTCAAACTATGCCATTTATTAATGAATAAATGTATGTAATATGTTTTACGCGGCTTATATTCAAACCGTTTAAGGGCGGTGGGGTAGCCTAGTGGTTAAAGCGTTCGCTCGTCACGACGAAGAGCCGGGTTCGATTACCCACATGGGTACAATGTGTGAAGCACATTTCTGGTGTCCCTCGCCGTGATTTTGCTGGAATATTGCTAAAATCGGCGTAAAACCATACTCACACACACTCATTCTTATCATTGATACGGTATAGCATATCGCGGGATGTCTTGGTTTTATCTGAACTCGACGCAGATTAGCCGTTTCAAGGCGGGGTCATCATTGTCAATGACAGGCATCGAACCGGAGCCTGATCCATCGGTTAATCTGTTTTACTGCTCCACCACCCCTTAACACTATGCGGAGATATGACACTTTAGCCAACAGTCTTTCTTCCACCGAGCAGGTATGATGATTTAAGACACAGCGGCTTCATTTAACTAACCTATGTAGGTTCCCGGTATCTGGAGCTGAGGGTTGTGGTTGAGTGTGGAGAAGAAGGTTTCATCCGGAATTTTGGTCTGTTTAACCCAGTTGAGCAAATCCTTGGCAACCTGATTGTTTATGGCATAGTCCACGAAGTCCCTGTTGGCGATGATGTGGACCGCTCCCTGCACTGGTCGGATTCCGTGGGGTGGACTGCCGGCGGGCCACCACCTTCTGAGGTTCTCAAAGTACCTGAAAGGGAAGACAAAGCACACAGCTCTTTATTATTCACACGGGTTTTTCTGATCCATGGACAAATTTCATGATTCGCAAATAGCGATGGTCCCTATCCAACGAACCATTACGCACATATCATACTAGACTTGGTTCCGAGCAAAAACGCCAACTACTATTTTATATATTATACTAAAAGTGAGGTGAAATGGAGTTTAACTTCGCATTCAGTATAATTTCACTAATATAGCGACGTGCATGCGTGTGCATGCGTGTGCATGCGTGTGTGTGCATGCGTGTGCGTGCGTGCGTGCGTGTGTGTGTGTGTGTGTGTGTGTGTGTGTGTGTGTGTCAGCTTGAACTGGTCCGAACTAATGCCGATTCTATAGAGCTAGCCCGCTGAAATACCATGCTGCAGTTTAACATGAATATCCCACTTAGACACAGTATACTGACGTCGAGCCAACCAGTCCTTGCTTTAGCCCCGTTATGCCGAGCGCCAGGCAGGGTAACAACAAGTACCATCGTTTTTCGTCTTTTGGTATCACCACGGACCTTCTGCTCTCCGGGCGGACGCTCTACCTTTAGACCACGGAGGCGGTCATCGGAAATATTAAAACTTGGTAGGTGTGGTAGTAGTCATCGTGGTACTTAAAGGATGGTCCGGATGGTTATATAGTGCTAGTACACTAACATACCTAGTAGTTAGGCTCAGAACCTTGCAGAGTAAGATTTTTTGCTGTTCAACGCCGTAATATTCCAGCTATATGCCGGCGGTCTGTAAGTAATCAAGTCTGGGCCAGCCAATTCAGTGATTGACATCATGAGCATTGATCTACGCAATTGGGATACGATGACATGCAATAGCCATGTCAGCGAGTTTGACCACCTGATCCCGTTAATCGCCTCTTACGACCAGCATGGGTTGCTGAAGACTAATTCTTAACCGGATCTTCACGGGGAAAGAGTTTAAATGAAGATATAACACGCTTGGTACTCAAAGGATGAGCACAGGCGCACATTCAATTGAATTCCAATGGTCTACTGGACACATTAAGTATGCCAATCAGCTGCGTTGCTGATCTCGTTAAATACTTCGATTCATACATGCGCCCCTTAGACATAGAATTTCACTTGACTGTCTTTACATAGGCACCTGTGTTTTGTCTTATCGTTGAGGGGCGCTGGGGAAGCCTTGTTGTTAAAACGTTCGCTCGTCATGCTGAAGACCCAGGTTCGATTCCCCACATGGACAGATTTCTGGTGTCCCCCACTGCAATATTGCTGGCATATTGCTAAGAATAGGCGTAAAACCACACTCACACTCCCTCTTATAATTGATACGGTATTAGCATCTCGCGGGATGTATTGGTTTTATCTGAACCCGACTCAGAATAGCTTCCCGTGCCTGGAAAAGAGGATCAGATGGCCACAGTAAACCGACATCGTGGACCGTTTTGCGCATGTTATCAACCATCGGTTTGCCTGGCCCAGACCCAGAACTGGAATCCGAATCCAAGAGGCACTCCCTAAAGCAGAAAAAGAATATTTTTTATCCGCGACGGAGCATTCTTTCGGATGTAAAATCATTCATGTTTGGCGAAAGAAGCGTCATAAAATACAGACCTCTAACGCAGCCTGTTACTGAATTCCAATAAGTCGAGTTGAATACAACTTTCTGCTTCGCGACATTTGATTGCTTCTGTCACAGTTTCCGATAATCAATAGATTCGTTTCCATAGTATAACCTATTATCTTATGTTGATAGCGCGTTGATGGTCGCATAAAGGCGCATGTCACACCCGAATCCAGATGACACCGTTCTCGCTCAATCTATAGTCAACGATCAATGAAAACCTCTTCAACCCTTCGTTGAGCACACACGAGAGGAATTCGCCAGCTTGCAGAGAACAGAGGTGGAAGCTAACAACGAACACCTGTCATGTCATGCAGGCCCCTCGACAATTTGTTTCGAAATACTTGGAAGGTGACTGGATTTTTGGTCCATCACTTGATTGTCTGGCTCGTTTAACATACCGTCGTTGCCTGGCAGGATTACTGCTGTGCGGTGTCAGACATCTTCCCGAGGCAAGGGAGTTAACTGACTTTAAAAGTCCAGTTTCCACCCTTGCCGAACTAGGCTGGAATTCCTGGGCCCGATCGTAGCGACACCAGTGGCTATTACGAGTTATGTTCCTTCTATGCCTCTCCTATGGACCAATCAGATTCCACCTCTCGTATCACTTGCATTTGATTCAAACAAAACGGTGGCGCCCAGTCAAGACGATTTGATCGATAATCAAGATCTATATTGTGACAAAACGGGTCTTACATCGCGAAGTGCATCAAATCACGTGAGCACCTTGATTAAAAACATGAAAAGATTTAGAAAATATCTGTTGACAACGAGCTAGCGGTGCACATGCTTTGCAAATCCTGCAGTCGACCGAAATCTGCATGACTCTTCGCCCCTTCGATGTTACCGAGAGTGTGACGAAGGTGTCACGGAGAAGGAAGGAGCTTGGTTTCTGGCGTGCCAAGGGATGCAACTCTGCTCAGCAAATTGCGGCGCCTTAGACGACTGGGCCACTTGTATCATAACACGCTAAACATATAAACGCCATATACATTCTTCCTATGTCAATATATCAATATGTATATGTATCAAGCTGGTTGGGTGGGGCAGGATACGTCCATTGTTTCGCGAACACCTGGTATTGACGCTATGTGATTGTGAATGATGAACGCATACTTTGAATTCACATATGGTCGGAAGTGTACACTCGCCTCTGCTTTTGGCATAATATATATGAATATGAAACGGGGTTTTTCGCTTATATTAAGTAAATGTAAACGCCAACGTCTCGATTTTCCGCCCAAACAGTTTCATTAGGCGTGAAAGTCAAATTAGCGGTGAAAATTATGTGAATGGTTCGCCCAAAATTAGTGATGACACCAGCTGTTCGTGAAAAGGGTTATACACCATGAGCCGTTGTTTGTGGAAACGCCTATTAAATAAAAAAGTATTTTGTAGAGTTTTGTAATATTTTGCTCTCTTTGGTTATATGACTTTTTTCGATGTGCATTATGATTCCAATACAATGATGCCGTCAACATATCTCCTTAATGTTTTATTACAATTATTCATTCGGTTTCAAAAATGAATATAAAGCCATTTCAGAGAAGAATTGATGAGTTCATCTCACAACTGTTATGCCAGTGAAATTCCTCACGCCACAAACATACGCTGATTTTATAAATAGCTTCATATGATTAATTTTGATAGCATACTTAATGAAGAAATGAGGCGAATACGATATGAAAATAGTTTTTAATATCTCAGAATCAATTAATTCAGACTGACAGCAAACTGATCGTGAAGGTTCATGACACTGCCCTTGACCTTTACCTTGAGACATGTGACAGACGGTGAGGGAAATCAGGTAAAGTGAATTGAAAAGTATTGTTTGAATTCAAAACTTAGTTGTAATGTTACATCTGACGGCCTTTACGTTGGACAAAGGTCAGTTTATTGAATTGAGACCTTTAGTCACACTTTTAGTCACATCTTTAGTTAATTACAAATAAAATTAAATAACATCATAAACCGTTTGACCTTCACCTCTTCACCAAAAATTTGCGAGGACACATCACTTGTCTTTCCTAGTGGTTTAAACATATAGTCCCAGAAATAAAGTTACAGGCTGAGGCAATGTTTCTTTTAATAAGTTATCTAGGGTCTTTTGAGACAGACTACAAGAGTTTATACAGAAAACGGTGAGTGAGTGAGTGAGTGAGTAAGTGAGTGAGTGAGTGAGTGAGTTTGGTTTAACGCCGCTTTTAACAGGATTCCAGTTATATCGCGGCGTGTCAGCTTAATGTGGGATGAAAGCCCGAAGTGATGCAGGTCTTAGACGTTTACCACTTCGGTGAAACCCACGAGCACGGGTATGGTGCTGACAAACCTAGAAACATAATTGGGGCGAACCGGGATTCGAAGCCACAATCATAGGTTTCTGGCGTGCCCAAGGGACGCAACTCTGCACAGCGCATCGCGGCGCCTTAGACGACTGGGCCACCCGTGCCCCCTACAGAAGACGGTGATCAAGATGGACATTGAACTAACATTGTACCTCAGGGGGGACATCAGGATATTTTTTGGAAAACGCAAATGCAGCATGTGGTGGGAAAGTCCTGAACATCAACAAGTTCTATTTTTTACAGGCGGACGTGAAATAGCTTGAATATTGCGGCGTTAGACAGCATTCACTCTCAGATTATCACTCTTTGAAAAACCACACAATTATTGGAATGTTCATGTTTACTACTCAAAAGAAGTTAAAGAACGCTACGTTTTTCATGTGAATACGACTCTTGCTCATCAAGGTTTCAGCATTCAAGGCCTTCAAACAGTTTTATGGTAGACATGTGGAGGACATTTCCAAATTCCTCATCCGTGACAAAAATTATGTCCTATGCAATTCCCTATGTTGACTTGTACCACATGGTCCCGTGGCTTTTCAGTTGAACAATTGACTTGCCATTGCATGTATTTGTGACGGGTGCCACCGGTGGGGCAGGATTCGCTCACCTTTTCGCTGGAATCATTAGTATTGCTAGTGATTCATAAACACATGCTCATGATATAGTCGGAATCGTACAATCGACTCTGCCTTATGCAGAGATTTCTATTGGGTAATGGAAACGTTTTGTTTTTGTTAATCTGTAACGGCTAGTGGGTATTATTTTAAAATAGGTGATCTGTCTTGGCTGTTATAACCGCAGCCTTCCTATTTAACTTCAGCTCACCACATGCCTAACTCTGGCACTGGGGGCGGATGGGGAAAAGAAGCAAACCGACTAATTACAACCTGTCCTTATGTTTCCGTTCATCGATCCTCATCACTGTCGTGCGAAGTGTTCCGAACAGCAAGCACCGATGCGTGATTAATGCACCAACGCCCGCAGCGGGATGAGCATACCGCAATTAATGACGGATGATAACTGACATCAAAGTATGCGGTATCTAAGTCATGTTTCGACACATATCGGTACATGTGGACTAGTTCGGTAGTTATCTAAATTTAGGTAACCTTAAGCATTCCACGTTGTTAGAGTAAAGCAAGGGTTGCTGCTATCCAAGTGACCTTGACAAGCTCCTATCCTCGAGAGGAATGAAAACGTTTTTTTCTAAGAGGTTGCCAATATAGATAAGATCATACTTAAACGTTGAAAGCCAGTGATTAGACATATCTGTATATTTTCTTATATCCCGCGGTGCTGAATTAATGTTCCGTTCATAAGGAAATGGTCCCCTAGTTACTCATTCACCGGCTTGAATACATATCTCCCCGTCCGAGAAAACAAAACCCAATTTCCCGTTTCATAAAATATTATATCGTGAAGAAGTATTGTTTTTGTTTTCAGCGTCTTTAAAAATTCTCCGCTCTCGTACCCACGTGCAACAAGCTCTCAACACCAATACATCAACTTGGAGTGAGTGAGTGAGTGAGTTAAAATGTATAGTCACATCGGCAGTATGTCAGCCATATCGTGACTATATCCTGGTATGACATTGAAGATGAATACCACTTCCTTCTTTTATGCCCATTTTATGCAACATTAAGGGCTAAGTATATACCTGAATATTACCATGTCAATCCCAATTTCTTTAAATTCACATCTCTGATAAACAACTCTAAGTACTTACTTTTTACAAAATGTATCTATGTACATTTATCATGCAATGAGACACAGCAAAAAAGTATTATGTTATAGACTCTACTACTCTGAATGTACAACTCATAAATGTACTATAGGCCTGTGGCCTCCATCAGTACGGAAATAAAGAAATTCATTCTGATTCTGATATCCTGAGAATCTCATTAGGATACGCGTGTAGTCAGAAGCGCTACAAACACTTCCCCACCGTGATGGATTACGGTTATAACGAACTAAAATTAGTAGTCCCTTTGAGTTCGTTATAACCGTGGTTTACTGTATCTTATAAAGAAATATGTATCTAGGTATTAAAACGTAAAATCAATGGAGTCCAGAACAATACGTATTTCCTACCGCTGGGGAAATCTTGACTTGCCAAATCATTCTAGATTTGAGTGGAATTCATTTGAAAATGTATTCTCAAGGATCTGGGTTTGGTTTGGTTCGTTGTTTAACGCCCACTCAGCAATATTCCAGCTATATGACGGCGGTCTGTAAATAATCGAATCTGGACCAGACAATCCAGTTATTGATATCATGAGCATCGATCCACGCAGTTGGGATCGGTGACATGCTTCAACTAAGTCAGCGAGCCTGACCACCCGATCCTGTAAGTCGCCTCTTACGACAAACATAGTCGCATTTTACGGCAAGCATTGGTTGCTGAAGACCTATTCTACTCCGGATCTTCACGGGTCCCAAGGATCTGGGAGACAGACAAGACTGTACGAGTTGTTGTTGTTGCATTAAGTGTTTAAGAGGTCGCCTTCTTCCTAAGCAATTTCGGCTGACCTGTCCCTCTTTGGGACTCCTGTGTGTGAGTAGGGTACACATATCTATTGTGAGTTTGGCGTTCACATAATTTCTGTTTTTGTATTGATATGATTTCTATTTTCTTATATTTATATGATTTCATTTTATCCTTGGCTGCTCTGTTTATATACGTTCGAGTAGCTGTCCATCCCTCAGAAATAGAGTTAGTTTGACAGACTAGACTGTACGAGAACAGTGGTTAAAGGTGTTTATAGGAGGTCGGCGTAGCAGTCTCTCACTATGTCGGTAGGAGAGAAACATATGTCTCAACTGTATAACAAAACTACAGACGTAATGATCATAAAACTCCATTTCAATACGTTTATGTAATGTTGCCCTCATACACAAACCCATTTAACAATTACAGGCTGCAGTGCTATACAATAGGAGCATTACAAATGTTAGCGGGGTCCCGTCTCTCAAAGCGTTGTGTGGTTACACCTGTGTTAGCTGTGTTAGTATAGTGGAGTTATGGTAACAGCAGTGCTTTGTGCAATAGTGATCTCGTTTCACAAAGCAACATTAGCGTTGCTGCCGCGAGCCTTTGCTTAAATGTATTGGCATTCGTCACGTCTCTTACAAAGGGGAAATGAAATTAACACCATGTATTATAGGAATGTTTCTGTCCATACGAATGTAACGACCTCTCTGATGTTATCTAACTAATAATGAAAATAATAATGATAATAATAATAATAATAATGATGATGAAAATAATAATAGTCCTTTTATATGGTGCTGTACTCCATGAATAAGCATGCTCTAAGCGCTTAGACATGTATTACCCCCGTCAATAGATCAGTGTGCACTCAACAATCATTCTCAGCTCCCTGGGGAGTATACAACATGCAATGGCATCTGTTATCGTGATGTTATTGGGACCAATATAAAAATCAGACTATGTAAAATGCACTGCCGGGCAAGAGAAGTATACACATCAAAGTTGAATGTGACCAAAAAAATTCAAACGTTATCAAATCAGTTGCCGAAACACTGCAACCTGAAGGTCCAAAACACAACTATGATACCTGTATCAAATACATCACCATCGAATAACCATTTCTTGTTTGTTTCACTTTTAGCCACCATTAAACACGGGTGTGTACTTTCGTTTGCTCGGCAGTTTAGTAGAGTCTTGTATGCGGGTACGAAACGTTATATACAATGTCAGTATCGGGCGTTTAACAGTGACAAACTAACTCACTAGTTCGTGCGATGATGAATGTAATGAGAAAACCTGTTTGGACCGGGCAGTTGAATTTTTTGGGGCGGAGTCAGTGATGTTTTAACAACGATAAGCCGGGTTCGATTCCCGACATGGGTACAATGTGTGAAGCCCATTTCTGGTGTCCCCTGCCGTGATATTGCTGGAATATTGCTAAAAGCGGCGTAAAACCATACTCACTCACTCACTCACTAACAACGATAAGGAAAACATTATTTGGCCGCAGGTTTTACAAATAAAATTAATTGTTCACATACTTGATATCATGAAAGAAAATGAGTTGAGAAGAAAGTTTATGCTACTCGTGACCAATGCCAATTTATTATATTATCGTAAGCGTGTCGATTATGTGATCGCTTGGTCAAGCGTCTAGTGCGTTCGTATACGAAGTCAATCATGGTCTAATGCTTAGGCAGTTTTGTTGGTGACCCCTACTCTGATATGGTGGGGGTGAGGTGAAACGGGGTTTAACGTCGCGTCCAAGATTAGTGCACTTATGTAGCGACGTGTGTGTGTGTGTGTGTGTGTGTGTGTGTGTGTGTGTGTGTGTGTGTGTGTGTGTGTGTGTGTGTGTGTGTGTGTGTGTGTGTGTGTGTGTGTGTGTGTGTGGCTGCTTGTACTAGCCCGGATTAATGCCGATTTTATAGATACCATGGCGCAGTTTGACATGAATACCCCACTCAGATTCAGTTTACTGACTCCGAGCCGACCAGTCCTTGTATTAGCCCCTAAATGCCGAGCGCCAGGCAGAGTAACAACAAGTACCATCTTTTAACGTCTTTTCATATGAAGCGGCCGGGGATCGAACCCCCGACCTTCCGCCCTCCGGCTTACGCTTTACCACTAGAGCATGGAGGCGGTCTTGCTCTGATATGGCTTAACAGTGCTATAAACAGCATTTATCTTACTCAAAAACTGTACACACATTCACTAGGACGTTACCTTGATACGGTCGCATCAATATCGTTGGCGCCGTTATACGCCTTCAGTATCCTCACCAACTGCAGATTCGTCTTTAAGGGGTACTCCTGACCAGTTAAGTTGATAAAATATTTCCATTTCTTGTAGCGTAGCAGGTCATTAATACACACAAGCTCTGCCTCAAGTACCGAAAACTCTCCCCACACAACGTCCAACGTCTTGGACGCCATATTGACGTTGTCGAAACACTCCGTGAGTTTCCTCATGCCGGCGTGCACCGACGGCGGCGCCTTAGCGTCCACGTGTATACAGTAATGGTTGTTTGGCCTATACACAGCTCGTAATAACCTCTCAGCTTGCTGAGCGTCTTTATAAAGAACAATACTGAAAGCAATGGGGAAATCCTCCTCTTCCTTAGACACATCCATTATGTATAAACGATCCTGTTTAAACTTAGAACAGTCATTCGTTCCTGTTCTGAGGTAAGCGTCGTCCATGTTAGCCCGGTAGTCGTAATCGCGAGCCATTTTGTATTTGGCTCTCTGTATTTCGGTTATATTTCCATTGAAGAGGTACTGACAGTTGACAGCGGCGATGTCCTTCTCTTCGAGGTAGACAGGGACATTGTATGAGATTCTGCCAACACCCACGGCGTTTCTAAACACGTCATCAAAGACCACCAGCACGATGAAGAATGAAAGCGAGACTAACAATCCAATCCCCAGTTTCCTCCTCCACATTCCTCTGAAACGAACAAGTCCAAATAAATAATACAAAGTTAGATGAATTCAGATCTCGCTCCACACCCCCTTAATTGTCATGAGGTGAGGTGGTGAGGTGAAATGGTTTTTAACGGATTATTACACTTATATAGCGATGTGCATGCACGTGTGTGTGTGTGCGTGTGTGTGCGTGCGTGCGTGCGTGCGTGTGTGTGTGTGTGTGTGTGTGTTGAGTAATACTGTTTTTAAGAACTACCCCACAGAGATACCATACCGCAGTTTATCATGAATACCCCACTCAGTATACTGACTCCGAGCCCACCAGTACTTGTTTTATCCCATCAATGCCGAAGGTCAGGGTAACAACAAGTACCATCTTTCAACGGGCTATGACGCGGCCGTTTGGTCATATTTTACCTGTGCTTTTAACATCTCTTACCTGTTCACACTTTGTAAAATATTCTCACACCACGGTTCGCACCACATCCACATTCTCATTCCCATCCACTTTCATCCATTCACCTCTTGTGTATCTCCGCAGCAAATCTCATTTATCTACACATCTCTAACCTGTATACATGGAAACGGCGCATCTCTCCTCCACTCGCTGCCTGTATCCCGTCAATTATCCACACATATAAGCTATATAAGCTGATGAAATGTTTTTGCTCGGTAAATGCCTCCACAAATAATGTCCAACAGTATTATTTACAATGCAAGGTTGAAAATATTCCTTTTCATCTTCCGCGATAGTAATCAAGTGACGCGCACCTGCTACTATTCAAAGAATGTATTACTTCACTGTGGGTTGTCAATCATTCATTACCAGTTACACCACGATACTACCAATGCCATGCATCAAACAAGAGTTGTCTATATCAGCTACCTGGATGGGTATACTACATCATATCACCTCCTTACTGTCAGTGATATATTTCACATACATCTTTCATTTAGTCCTTCTTTGACAATATTGCTATGGCTATATAGATACATGTAGATTACAATTATTATTGAGGCTATGTAATACATCTGTGTACATCTTTCATTTAGTTCCGTGGTCTAGTGGTAGAGCGTCCGCCCGGAGAGCGGAAGGTACGAGGTTCGATCCCCGTCCGCGTCATACCAAAAGACGTTATAAGATGGTACTTGTTGTTACCCTGTCTGGCGTTCGGCATTAAGGGGCTAACACAAGGACTGGTCGGCTCGGAGTCAGTATACTGTGTCTGAGTGGGGTATTCATGTTAAACTGCGGCATCGTATCTCAGTGAGCTAGCAGCCACACAAACACACACACGTACATGCACGTCGCTATATAAGTGCAATAATCTTGGACGCGACGTTAAACCCCATTTCACCTCACCTCACCTCTTTCATTTAGTCCTTCTTTGACATTTTGGCTATGGCTTTATAGATACATGAACACATAATGCTATTTTAGGAAGTCGTAAAATGTAATAAATGTTATATTTGGGATAACCCTTTCTTACTAAAGTACAGATTCTAGTACTATCTAGATCTGGATCTAGAAGCAGAAACAATGCCATGTAGAATACCATTATTATGAAGGCTCTGTAATAACGATTATAACCCTATAACAAAGGATCTTTTCAGTACTCACAATACTATTGTCAATATTAACCGGCCGGTAAGCGCATGCAGCAACCTTCTATATACTGTAAAACCATCATTTAAACATCTGTGTCAAAGAATATATTGACTGCGGTTCATTCTCAAATAAATCTGCTGGGCGAGCTATTGTAATCAAATGAACAATACACTTGGATCGAGACTAGCACAGAGACCAGATCTCCCACGATACCATAAAATTCATACACACTTACAAACGCATGTTCCCTATATGATGTTTTGTTTGTGTGTTGTTTTACGCCGCACGCAGCAATATTCCAGGTCTATAACGGCGGTCTGTAAATAATCGAGTCTGGACCAGACAATCCAGGGATTGACTTGATGAGCATCGATCCACGCAAACGGGTCCAAGTGTGATATGATGTATCTCTATTCTCATTTAAGACACCCCTGCAGCTTTGTATTAAATCGGATAAAGAGCAAAGTGTCGAAAGAATGCAAACATTGTCATTGCTATGACAATGCCATATGGCTTTGCACTGTGATTTTTTTTATGTCTGACATTTCTTTTCATGTCTAATTGATAAACATGATGTCGATGTATATGTAAAAATAGACATGCTTGACGCCGATGATAGGCTTTCAATGTTTCCCGGTGCAGATGTCCATGACTTAACTGACGAAATTGATTATGATACTTGATACATCATACTATCTTTTTGCTTTGTTATATGGAATTTAAAGAAATACCTCATGTACATTGTAAATTGTGTTGTCATGACTATTGTTCCACATGCTTTCATTGTATATACTCAAGTAATATAAATCATGTTTTGTCATCTTCGGATTCAAAATTCGAAATGTATCCATCTGTCATCCACGCATGCATCCATCCATCCATCCACGCATTCATGCATCCATCCATCCATAGCCTTCTATAGCATATGTCGAATGATGAATAGTGAAACTGTTAGGTTTGGGGGATGGATGCCAGTGGGAGATGGTATTCTGGAGATGGAGTCTGGATACGAACATAGCGCTACATGAATCAAGTCGTTATATGGTCAACAATAGGATCCAGATAATGGTAAGGCGTACAATGCAAACCTGAGCAAGTCTGGTACCTCCACAGAACGCACGGTGATCAGATGTAAGCGGTTCCACTGAAACATGCCCATTTACTACCGGGGAAAAGAAAGTATGCACCCATATTTTATGGTAGCTAAAATGAAACAAGCGAGAAATGTTTTTTGGATGGTGATGTAGTTGAAAAGGGTATCCTTTTTGAGTTTTGGACTTTAAAGGGGAAGTGTACACGCAAAAATTACTTTCTTTCTTTTTCTAAACAAAACGCAATTTTAGAATTAGTTAGTATCTGTGTTTGAAAATATACACTCATTTTTTTCACAGTGAAAGTAGGAAGCTCACAATAGTGTGAAAATGATATGCCGTTATGAGGCCTTCGTTTTTCGAGCTAAACAGGCCTGAGTTATCCCCCTTAGATTATGACGTAATTGGTGCCAATTCAACTGGGTCCCTGTCTATTCTCAACGCAAAAGATATCAAGTACCAGTTTGCTGTAAAACAACATGGCCTACGACACACTCCGGCGCAGTGGTGACTCAGCATAACACTTTGCTGGCTGGCATCTGAGACGCTAGAACCACACACCTAGACCTACACCACGTGAAGCGGCTCTAACAAAGCATGATGACGTCATAATGTTTATCAATTGGCACCAATGACGTCATATTGCAAGGGGCATAAGCCATGGTGTTTTTGTTGTGGAAATAGAACATTTGGTAAATGTGAAAAATATAAATCGTTTTAATGCGAAAAATATGTTAATTAATTGTGATATTTTTATATTTTTGTCTATGACACTTCTAGGTTAACACTTTTAATGTGGAAAATGTACAAGAAAAATAGGTTAATTTCCGTGTGAACTTGCCCTTTAAGTTTCCAGTGTTTCAGCGGCTGTTTTCAGCCAAGTAACGTTTTGATCAAGTTTGTAATTCATAGTCAAATCCAACTTTCAAGTTTATACTTTCTTTAGCCCGGCTATTACAAATATGTCAGTTGAGGATCTTATAATTGGTTAATAATGTCGAAGCTGATTGTGATATTCGTTATATCCGTTAGTTCTGCAATCCATTAGTTTGATATACCCGTGTGCTTTTTATACTTTCTTTAGCCCGGCTATTACAAATATGTCAGTTGAGGATCTTATAATTGGTTAATAATGTCGGAGCTGATTGTGATATTCGTTATATCCGTTAGTTCTGCAATCCATTAGTTTGATATACCCGTGTGCTTTTTCCATTAGTTTGATATATCCGTTAGTTCGTCATATGCGTTATTTAGTTATGTCGGAGTTCTCAAGTTCTATATATATTCATATTCGTTATTAAATAAGTTCGATATATCCATGTTCTTAATACAGGTTGCAAAAGTATATAAAATAAGATCGCTATATCATGTTCATTCGTTATATGAGTTAGTTTGTTATGTCATAAGTTCGACATAGCCGCGTTCGTTATATGAGCTAGTTCGTTTTGTCGATGTTCGCTATATCCATAAGTTCATAATGCGCATCAATATTCATAAGATACATAGTGTTTAAAGTGGGCATGCTGACGGGTTCGTCTTATCGGCAGTTCAGCATACTATGCATCTTCCCGCATACTATGTGAAACTTACAAGATCAAACCAGATATAAGCATACATGTTTGTTTCATCGTCTAGTACCGCGCTCCTTGCACTGGCATCGTGTTATTGCATTTTGTATATTATAACACCGTTAATAATTAACTGTCCCAGAAAATAATATCACACTACACGGGGCGGTCAGCACTGCACAATATTGTCAATCAGACCCGAAAACCCCAGTTGCCAATACGGGCAGAGCTATCCGTGTAACAGCTTGCATTGTAATTATTACTTGTACTGCTCACTCATTTTGTAAGTGTATAGTCCAGGTGCTAGGTTATACCTGTTAAGCTAAGGTAATTATCCATATAACGTATTTCAAGGACATATAAACTCATTTTCCTGTAACTAAGTTCACTCGTCATTGTATATCTGCTGAATTATACATTTCGAAGCAGACAATTGTTCGATTGTTAAATAATCAAGTCTGAACCAGGAAATTGATGACATCATGAGGGTCGACCTACGAAATTGGGAAACGATGACATGTATCAACCACGTCATCGAGCTTCATCACCTGATCCCGTTAAGTCAGTTAGCAACAGTATGGGTTGAAGACCAATTCTTACCCGAATCGTAGACAATTAAGGTACCTGTCATTTTTGATATGGTGTGGGAACATATTTTGTCTCGGAATTGACCAGATAATAATATAGTTTGTTGTAAGGCGTAAGGTAAAACAAAAATAAAACAGAATCCTTTGGGGTAATTTTTTTTTCAAAA